ACAGAGGCATTGCAAACTCATCGCAAACATTTATGGAATCAATATTTAAATCAGAAGACTAATATATACGTTTATATTTATAAATAGGTATTTCATGGATGTTAGTGCCCCAATCTTGCATGATTGCTCAATATCGCTTCAATCAACGTGTCATCTTGGAAAGCTTGTAGTGGTGCCTTCAATCATACTAAACTGTATTAACCACCAGGATCTTCAGATTTTGAGGCCCAGCTGGTCTACAGTTCAGCCAATCGGGCAGGAATTCAAAGGCCTCTGTGCTCTTATTTCCGTGAATTCACGATTTTGGCCCGACCGCCAGATAATGTCATCACTGAGTATTTGTCCTCACTCTCACCCTTGTGCACTCACTGGTCACAACTTCTAATTAGAACTCCAAGCAACGTTGTCCAATTTTCAGTCAGTCTCCAGTGTCAGATTAATTTTCAAGAGTTAGTAGCCTGCAGGCTCTCGGTTCGATTCCTTACGGACTTATGTGTTCGTGAAGCTGGATTGTTCACAACTAGAACGAAGCAGATATCCAGTACTCCTTGGTTATTACTGGTTCTCTGGCTGATACCAATCCGCGATCAAACTTGATGCAAATCAAGTCCCTGTAAACTGACCCTTGAAAGTGTAACAGCTACCAGTTGACGGTCCGAGATAACGTGAAATAAGTTACATTTTTGGAAAATGATGCATACAACCGCGCACTTCAACAGATGTTCAGTGCAAATCTAAGCAGTTTGTTTGTTGTTGAGATAGGATAGTGATGTTTTGACCAGATTATCTCCTACAAAGTTTAGGAATATTTTCCCTAAACGATTAGTGATACGTAGCAGTGCGCACGCTCATGCACAAGTAGGTTTTGTTTCATCCAACATGCAGTAGTTGACACTTACAACTCACTGTAGTGGAATTGTTGTGGCTGCGATAATCCAGGATTCGACTTCCACCTCACTTTCACTTCAGCACACCACTATCCAGACTTGAGGGAAATACTCACTTCCCACATGCTACCTGGACTCCTGCCAGGAATTTACAAGTGAAGACTCAGTATAGAAGAGACAGAAGGATCATACTGGCGATATACTAGAGAGAAATCTGCGTCCATCTTCTACGTGTTTTAACCTGTGTGTGATGACGAAGACGGAGAATATTACGGAAGGGAAATGTCAGGATAAAATGTGTAACAGAAATTCCCTAGTTTTATTTTGAAACAGCTTAGGTAATGTTTGACTGAAAACCAGTTTATCAATCAATATACGCAGCGAAAATGCTTTCATTGTCGAGGTTGTTACGCGATGTGATTCATGTACCCACATGAAAATTCCATCGAAATGGATTTAACATATTCGTACTGAGTATTTACTGTTGTGATAAGTTTTCAACTCTGGAATTGAAAATTTGTCTTCAAATAGTTTCCTATCAGCTGAATGTTTGACTACCACCCATCTCTGGTGCAAATAGTGGTTCGGTTCGTGAAAAGGAAGGCGTTAGTTCCAAAAAGGGCGGCCGATGAACAGCAACAGACTAGCTGTCTTCTTCGAATGAAATCTAGTGACCCCTTGTACCGACACTGCTATTATTCATAAAGTATTTCGACTGATATCCATGTTCTGTTTATCAATTATATTTCAGTATAGGGTGTGTGATACTTAATTGTCTATATTGTCCTCTGCAGCGTACTTTTTAATTCAACTTTGTTACTAATCAAGGTCTTCAGTAGTGCCTTCGGCTTAACTCTGTTTATGTTGGTGAAGCGTGGTGTCCGATGCATTGAAACTCTCGAAGAAATAGTTGAATTTCAATATGTTGTATAGGATTCAGACAGTAGACTTCTCAGAAAATAGCTATTCACAGACGGATGGGTTGCATTGGTCTTTAGTGACTATTATAACGAGGTTTATTTATACACGTAAGTGCTACGACCAAAACGGACTGGTTCGAGTTTGCACGCAGGAAACCGATCTATGCGTCCTACTGTATGGATGTCCAAAATTTCCTTGAGATACGCTTCAAAGACAGCAGAAATATGAGTATTCATGGTTGGAATCTGTGGTTCTCACCAGTGACGATAGAAAACAACTTTGTATATACAGCTGCGTGAGTACAAAACAAGTACTTAGAATTAAAGTAAAATATTCCCAATAAGGTGGGATCAAACACTCTGTCCACATAAATCACACATCAACGCCGCCCACACACAGTTCAATGTCAGAATCACCTTGATTCACTCAAACAAAATCACATCCTAAAGCAATACATCATCGATGCATCTCAACAAATGCAAAGAGAAGCATTGAAATTTGAGATTGAACAGGGACAAAGACAAATAATGAGTATCAAATCAACTCACGATATGTGAATGTCAAAACAGTGATTGATACACAATCTGGGAGTGAAACGGATAATAATTGTTAAGTTACTTGAAACACCCAAATGAGTATAAATTTTGTGATTAGATAGTTCAAGAGGGCTTTCCCGAACAAACTTCTCGTTAGTGTAGGTTTTAAAAATTAACTAATTAACAGAGGCCTTAGTTATGGGATGCCCTAATCAAGGCGCGAAGGTGCTTGCAAGTACGTACATCTCCACTCCAATCACTTTGCAATTTACTTTAGTAATACACTGTATATTACAGATTAACGAATGTTTGCTTTTAATACATAGTCATCAAAGTGTGTTCATAGAAAGGAGTATTACCTTTAGTTTTAAAAGTTTATATAAGATTATATCTGCGCCCTGCAACACTGCATATTATTCAGCTTTCAATGCCTCAGTGAAACGTTCTCATTGTTATTTAAATATCCACTTGACATCACTGGGTAATATGAAACACCTATTCTCTGCTACTAATTTTCCTCAGCAGACAAGTCATAACACATGGAATATAGGACACGCGTTTTTCTCGAGGAGACCTCTGATATGATACTTCGGATCATCTGTACTCATTTTTCGCCTGTACATTCCTCTACAGTTTAAAGTTCAGTAGCAGAACGAAGCTTTGGTATTGTTCTTCACCATGAAAACGGTTGTGGTCAAAAGCAAGGCATTATTTGTCATTGGGTGTACACAGTCGTGTATTCTTCGGTGACTGACACGTTATATGAGCCATCATCAATATTAAAGAGTGTTGCGTGTCTGTTAATCAAAATCACAATTCGCAATTCACACAGTTTGAGGTGAGATTTCACCACAGTTTCCTTTGTAAACCAGAATTATTCGGATCACAATATGTGGTCTGTTTGAGTTGTGTACAACTATTCAACACCACCAACAGCAACAACAACAAACAACAATCGGCATAAATGGGAGGAACCTGAAAGAAACAACCTCTTTTACCTACCTGGGAAGCATCGTTTCAACTACAGGCTGAACTGACGAGGATATCAAAGCAAGAATCGGAAAAGCAAGACAAGCTTTCACCACTCTCAAGTCAGTGTGGAGGTCAACAACACTCAGCATCAAAAATAAGATCGGGATTTTCAACTCCAATGTGAAGTCAGTGCTACTATACGGATCAGAGACTTGGCCAGCGCGTCATAAAGGGCACCTCGAACAAACTACAGACATTCATTAACAGTTATCTTCGCTCAATACTCAAGATCAGATGACCGGCCAGAAAAGATCAGCAACAGAGATCTCTGGCAATGAGCGAACCAACCAGGAACCGGTTGTGAAACAAATAGGCAGGAAGAAATGGAGATGGATTGGCTGGCCACACTCTGAGGAAACCATCAAGTGAGATCACTAGACATGCCATTGCTCGAGTGGAACCCGAAAGGGAAGCGGCGAGTTGGTAGTCAGTGCAAGGGTGACTTGGAGGAGGTCATGTGAAGAGGAGATAAAAACGTGTGGGCAGACATGGAGCCAGGTGAAAACCTTAGCAGAGAACAGAACGCAATGGAGACGCGTGGCTGAAGCCCTATGTTCCTCTAGGAATGAAAGGATACAATAATAATTATAATAATAATAATAACACAACTATTCATCTCAGTCGACCAGTGGTACATACTTGTACACATTTATGCCTGCTTTCTTGACTACTATCTATGGTATCTAGCAGATCACATATTTTTATCTGAATATTTGTGTTTCCAAAATGAACTGTGAATAGATCTTAACTTGAGCTGTTTAAATTGCAAATTATTTTCTGCAAATTGTGAATTTGGTTTGTGAGATAACCGGTTCTCCCGAGTGCCTAACCGCAAATGAGGAAGTCTGAACTGATTCTACACTCTGAGCTCGGCCTGAAACGAGCGAAGTGACAATCCGTTGTTTGGACCCTTTCGATGTGGGCAGCAAGTACTAGTGGTTGATGTGACTGGCATACAACTACTTATTTCAACCAATCAGTAATATACAGTTCTGTGTTGCGTGTCTGCTTCACAGTTTTCTCCTAGGTACAAATGTTGCCAGGATCTCACGAAGCCCGATGAAGAGAAATTCTCAGTATTATACCATTATGGTACGAAAATAGAATTGGGTGCAATATAAACAGGACAAATGTAAAGTGAATATATATTAGTTGAATGAACTACTTGGTTACTTTCAGATGCTACAGGCTTTGTGTTCAAAGATTTTCGAAGTCTGAAGATGGTTAAAGGTAAATTATTACCAGCCATTTCGTAAAGTGTCTGAAACCATTGATTCTGAACATTCTGTGATTGCTACTGACGTCCCTGCGACCAAAAGTCACTTACCTCATGGATTGATGTCGTGAATTGTTCTGCCTATGGCGGAGTGTTCTGAAATGAAGTGCAACAACATTGCTTGTAAAGGAAGGAGAGGACTCTGTATGCGTAAACACATATTCACGACACCTCACCGCGTGCTGCTTCACAACTTTAGTGACCGATTCACTTCTCTTACGTAGCACCTTACTCTCAGTCTCCCTATTTATTACCGACCTGTTCTACGTAATGCATATAATGAGAACCGCAAGCTGACTCAGTAAAATGTATGCCGACTAATTGATTTTATTGTGTTTTATTAAATTAGGAACATGCTCATCAGAGAAGAAGAAAACTCTTTCCGTATACACTTTGTATTTTGTTTTACTCAAATATCACAATGACCAGGCATCGGAAAGCTCAAAGCGAAATCTGATACTGACTGGCGTAGTTGTTGGATTCGAAATCTCAGATTTGGACTTCCTTTGACAGCCAGTGAGAATTTTTGAATATCATCTATGTGAGAAAGAGAAATAACAGGGATGAGAAGAAACAGCGAAAGCTAAATGCCTATTCCATGCTAATACTTACTAATGTCATCTTAAGATTTTAAATAAATTTTCTTCGTACCGTAAATATTTCAATTTGTTCAATTATGTAAAAATTATCTGTGCCACTGAATGATGGAAGCTATTTGGCGTAAAATGTACACTGACGAGTTATTGTAATATGCAAGTGTACAACTAAGAGTTGTCAAGATGTGATAGACTAATTCATCGTTGTGTTTTATGCTTACATTTCTTCGTTGATTGATTGAATCAACACCATTAATTCTTTGACACCGACAAACTAGAGTAGCAATATGGTGTCTCGTATCTCGAGTTTGGTCATGAGACGACATCCCCACTGGAAGTATCGCAGTGCCGGACAGCTGTTTCATCGTTGTATGGGACTCTCCTGGATACCTCACACATGATCCACCAGGATTCGGTCCCATTTGGATTTGACGACATACACGTGACGATGACGTTGGTGAGCAGCCGCTCTATGCATCACAAAGTGGCAGAAGTGAGAATTTCTGGGTCATTTCATTCCATTTCAATAGTTTCATGGTTACCTAGTTTTCAGTGCTTTCCTAACTATAGTCAGTTCATGATCAAACTTGAAACCAATCAAATCTATTCGAAGTAAAACTTGACAATTTGTATCTCTAAGTATGACATTCTTTTTTGAAAGTTTAATTCCACGATGTCAGTCTACTTACCATGATTATTTATTATTATTCCATTGGGTTCTGAGTGAAACATAGGGCTTCAGCAACACATTTCCACTCTTTTGTTTTCTACAGTCCTCTTCTTCTGGGTCCACGATTACCCATAATCCCTCATCTCCTCCTCACAAGATCTCCTCCATGTCACCCTCGCAACGATGACCCACTCGTCACATCCCACTCGGATTCTACTCTAGCAATGACCGGCATTGGGTGCGATGTCACTCAAAGGTCTCCTTAATGTATGCTCGATCTATCTGTATTTCCTCCTGCATATTTGTTGAGCAATCGATTGTCACTTTGTTTGTCACCATTCAGAGTTTCTTGTAGCTAATTCTTTCTGGCCAGTCATTTCATCGATAGTATGGAGTCAGAGAAGGCAGTTGTTGATAAAAGTCTGTAACTTGTCGAAAATCCTTTTCGTGACACACAGTGCAAGTTTCTGACTCGTATAGAATAACTGACTGAATTCCCATTTGTGTTGAAAATCCGAATCTTGTTGTTCATGTTGGTTGGGTGCAGTGCAGAAGATTTTCAAACTGCTTTCAGGTTGATGAGGACGTGTCCCGCCTTTCCGATTCTGGCTGGTGTGGACATCTTCATCCGTGCCACCCGCCTGTGGTTGGAACCGTGCTTCCTGGCCAGATAAGTGACGGCAGTTGCTTCTGACAAATCTCTCCCGTTGTTGGTGGTTGGTGCCGGTTGTTGTTGCTGTTGGTTGGTTAGTTGGTTGTTTGGTTATCTTCATCACCTCCGTCTTCTCTATGTTCACCTGGAGTCCTTTCTTCGCTGCTAGTCAGCGTCTTCAGCCAGTTTGTTGGTTTTCGCCTTAGTTCATTACCTGGCGTTCTTGCACAGGCCTAGCTAGATCTCCCTTTCATAGTAGCTTGACAAATGACCTACGGTTTCTCCCAATTGGTAGGCACCTTCCCTTCCTTCCAAACATTTTGCAATAATGGCGTGAGCACATCTGCCACAGTCTCTGCGTCAGTTTTCATTGCTTCATGTTTGAGGGGAATTCCGCCTGGCCCTGATGCCTTCCCGACTGAACATCTTATCGTGCCTCTTCCTACTTCCCAAAACAATTGTACACGTTTCCTTGAACATCACTTTCAAAGAGTTCCAATGTTTTTCGACGCGGTTTTCCTCAGTGATGCCACGTAGTATCTCCGACTTTTCTCTGATCGGGTCTGTAGTGAAGGTATCTCTTGTAGTTTTGCCCTACAGTTTCTGAATGTTTAACTTGGATTGTGATCTGTCTCCGGTTGTTCTGAAGGATTTCAGCGTCACTTTGAGTGTTGCGAGAACTAGATGATAATCTGAGCCCACATCTGCTCCCCTTTTCCACGTTGTGTCCAGCAGATTGGTTGTATCTCTACTTCCTTCAGCAGCATTGAGATGAAGTCTGTCTGGTTGGTGGTGCGTTCGTCAGGTGAAATCCACGTCGCTGTCATTGTAGATGTCCTTGTGTTTGTACACGATGCCTCCGATCATCAAGTCATCGAGGGCGCAGATGTCGGCGATGAGTCCTCCATTCTCATTCATTTCCCCAAATGAGAGCCTCTCGAACCATGATGAGTTCTCTTCCTGTATTATCTGCTCCCTTTCCGGCTTGCATTCAAATCGCCCATAAGGATTCTGATGTCGCTATTTCGGATGTTGTCTACTACTGTTTGCAGTTGTCTATAAAGATCTCCCTTCAGCTGTTGTTCCGCGTCGTTTGTAGCACTGTGAGCAGCATTGGATAATTGTAACTTTCCTTCCTTCCTTCCGTCATTTTGAGTTGAATCTTGCTGTCATAATCCTTCTGGTTAAAATTGATTCCAGCTGCATAAGGGCTTTGGCTGCCACTGGTAACACCATCACAGCCACTCAGAAGGCTTGTGGTTGTCAACTGGGTATCCAGACAGGAGTAGATTACTGACCCTCCAGTTGACAGTTTTGACAGTCCACATCCATCCCATCTGCTCTCGCAGATTCCCAATACTTCTTTACTATATCTTTTCATTTCTTTGGCTACATGGGCAGCCTTCCCAGTCTCGTACATTGTACGAACATTCCACATCTCCATGTACTGAATGCTGTAGCTCTCCATAATGATTTCAGAGTAATGAGCACATATCCTGACTTCCAGATTCTAAATGGCCGGCTTTCGCATCGTAATCCAGGCCTCCTGTAGCTAAAATTGTGTTTTCTATCCACATGAAATAAGGAGAGACGAGTTCTTCTCGAATTCAACCACTGACCGTAATTCGCGGTACATGTTGACAGAGAGGTATTTCTCACGCTGCGTCCATTATGAACTTGTTGGTTTCTCCTCGTAAATCTCCTTGTTGTTAAGAAAGCGGAGGATTTCAGATATTCCAGGCTAATTCCACGCTCCAACCTGAGCCGGTCTAATCACCATGAGCGGTGAAACGCATCAAGGCGCATTTGTGTCGACTTGACAATTACAGGAACCAGACGACTGTTCGATTTGTGCTCGAAAACGACAGTGATCGTGACTGATTTTCGGCTTGTACTTTACCGGATTAGTTAAATTATCTGAATGTGAAGGTGATACACAACACCATGCTCCATCACACAATGCAGGTTGATACCAACATGCAGTCTATTTAGACTAAGTTTCACGAGTATTTCTAGTAGGATTTCATGAATGTCTGCGATGTGGTATTCTTAAATCGTGGACAAGCAACTGCACTGCTCAGAGATGAGCAATTATTCTGAAAAGTCACATGATCAGACTATGGTTGATGTGCACACATATTTGACAGAATCACATCGGATGAACATTTCCAAATCCCAGTAGGCACTTCATGTATCCATTCTCTTGTGATTGGATTCCATGACTGAGACATACACCACTAGGCAGCTGGTCAGTGGTTTGTCGGTCGGATACGCAAAGCACTTTAATCACTTCCTACTTAAGAACATCCTACGGTGAGTTATTGTTAGGTTCCATACAGCTGTCATACATTCGTTTTGCAACCTTCCATTCGTCACCGACGCACCCATCAAAATGAAGGTGAAATTTCCGATTAGCTGTCGAGTGTTTATGGATTCACACACTCCGTTTCTGCATTCGATGGTTTGGCGATGGTGTCTCTCTACACTGGATATTATGTCGTCAGCGTTAAATTCAATTTCAGATGAATTGTTCATTATTATTCGGTATATGAATTAAAGATGTCCAATCTAGTTTATTTTTGGCAAGCACGTATTTTGATTTGAAAGTAGTACAAGCTACTCAAATAATCACAAGTAATCACACATTAGTCTGATCGAATGAATTCAGGTGGACATTGTGAAACAGCAAGATCTTAGATCAAAGATAAACCTCTTACTAGTTAAACAATTACAGCGGAAAAATGTGATGACTAATGATGTGACCTTTACCGGCAATGAAACACTAAAGCCGTGTGCACTCGTTGGTATGCGAAGAAAGAGAATGGCCTACTTCTGTCTCGTCAGACAATGCCGACGAGGTCATCGAGAGGCGTGTCACCTAGTCGGACACTGTTCACATGCTTCCAATGGTATTCGAACTGAACAAACAAATTTGTAAATAATTGCATGCAATTTCGTCAGTTTCACTGGGACCGACAATTTTATATCTTATTCCATTTGGTGCTGCACATTGGAAGTACGAAGGCTGTGTGATTTCGCACAGTTTGATGAGAGTTATGATGGTTGTAATGAATGCACAACTCAGAAGACACCAGTCTCATCGAATATTCATGAGCATGTTCATTGGTATAAGTTCAATGCTAGATGTCGTTATTAACCGACATAAACGCTCCTAATGTTATTGCAATGTATGAACTATTTGTTCAAAGCCTCCCTATACAAACAGGTGAGCGTTGATGAAGTGGACTTCTTTCACCATACTGAACACGTATTCTCACAACAAAAGTCACCTGACGAATCCAAATTACTCCATGAGGATAGATATATACCACTGACACTGGCTTGCGGAAGTGTTATATGCGAGAATTAGCCAAAGTTAGACTATTGGGTTTCCACCTAGTGGTTTGATGGTGACGCGGTCCCAGCTCAACAGGAATGTCGTGGATTCAATCGCTGGTGTCGTCACGGATGAGTGCTGCGGAAGAGTACCAAGCTGGTGGTCCAGTCCTGCATGGTTTCCAGTGGTTCTCTAACTGATATCGACTAGTGACACTTGGAAATTGAAGCACTAGTGATAACAATTGCTGGTATGGATGCGGTCATCATCTCTGCGTCGTATGTCATTTAGAATACTGATGCTGAGACAACACGATCTTCTCGCGGATAAGATGCATTAAGTTGTAAACAGAGGCCAACTAACATGTCTAAGGGTAATATATATATGGTGGATTGAAATCATCTAGACAACCACAGAAAACCAAGATGCATCAGGCATATATTATAGGCACATTCGGTATCATTTTTCGCCAACCAGTAATTGCATCCAACAACAAGTCCATAACACTGAATGTCTGTGGTATTATGTGTATGGAACTACTAGCGGTCGAGAACTATGGGCCTTTCAATTTGAACTGGGTGAGGCAGTGTTAACGTCTTCTTTTAATAACAACTGAGTGAATTGATTCGTAGATGAGTAAAGCAAACACAACCTGATCCTAATCCTTTACAACATAGGTCAGGATTGAAAATAGAGATTAGCCAAACAGGTATTATCATCAGAATTGTTCACATGTATTATTCACGAAGATTATTAACTCACCCGTGACCTTCTTCGCATCAGATGTAAGTTTCAAAACTTCTTCAATCAAATTGGCGACATTTTCAAAGTCTTTGTTTAAGAAACCTCGTGATGTCAAAGCAGGCGTGCCTATAAACCGGGTATAAATAAACCAGAGGAATAGTAAACTGCGAAAAGAAATTATGTTGTGGTGAGTTACTTTCCGAAGTTTAGGAATAATCAGAATGCCACCTTCTTGCAGCGGATAGAATTTATGCGTTCAACCGGTAAGAATACTACTACTCACGAAATAAGTGTGCTCCTTCCACAGTGTGCAAAATTATTACTAGAAATCAGTAAACTTCGAATTTTCAGTGTACATTACTTTGTTGAATTTGTGTATTCGCCTCATTGCACATTGCTGTCTGTGGTAATTCAGAAATATACATATGCACATTGAGTATATCGGTGGATTAAGGGTCTAATGTACTGAATGACTGATGCACTCCTAAACTTCGCCTGGTTTATCAGATGGCAGTAATCCCGGAAAGGCGGAAGAGGAGAGGAGGAGTTGGGCGTGACACTAGCAAACTCAACCCCTAAATAAAACACTGCGATTTTGAATCTTGAAGACTGAAGCCATATATTCTACTTGGAAAGCAACAGCATGATATATACATATATTTATATATAACGAAGGAAATAATGAAATATTGACTCCAAGTAATCCATATTACGAAGAGAAAATAATGCTGTATCAGAGGAATACAAATGTTACATTGCTTTCAAATTAAAATGAATCTATCACATGAAGAGGCACTTCAATAAGAAGTACTGCTTCATTGTCAAATTATATTGTAACTTGAGAATGAACAGTGAGCATAATTCAAGCATTTGCATGATATGAGAAGCAAGATAGGGATTCAGTTTTGTGAAATCAGTGTGGGAGCCAACCGTAATCAACATAAGCAGAAAAATCGAGATCTTCTACAATAATATCAAGTCAGTGATTCTATACGGCTCAGAGACTTTGCAGTGGTGTCACAGTAACCAATTCGAACAACTTTTTTCAGTATCCAATGGATATCCATATCGAAAATAACTAGAATGGGAAACGAGTGGTTAGGTGTGGGTGTGATGGTAACATGGACGGGATCTTGTGAAGAGGAAGTGAAAGTGCATGTGAAATTGTGCAGCCAGGTAAAAGAGACTTTACAGAGGAGAGTGAAATGACAATGTGCTTCCGTACCCCCATATTCCACTTGGAACACACGGAAATAATAATACCACCAATACAAATGATTTAATTAGGAGATTAACCGAAACCTGACATTTTGACGAATAAACCTAGTTACTGCGTATATACGTCCCTTCAAGGAATGAGTTTTCCGTTCCTTTTACGTCCGAATGTAATATAGGACTTCAAGCTCCATCTGGGAAATGTCGGTGATGGCGATATTTGATTTTTATATTGTACAGCTCCTAGCCTCGAACCCAACATTCCTCATTCACCGGGCTTACTATCGACTGGCAGAGGTTAATTAGTGCACCGGCCAGATGTCGAACACGGACAATGTCCAAGCATGGTGAGTGGGCGTTATGTCAATGAACTATGGACAAAATCTCCCTAAGAATAAAGAATAAATGTTAGAGTTTAACTAGGGTTTCAATGCCAGAATACCACATAATGCTGATCAATCGACTACTATTTCAACACTAAGAAAACATAAAAGGCTGATGTTGTGATGAACAATTTCTATTACTGCATTGTTTCAATGAGTACCATTGTTTGCTAATATTTCCTGGATATCGCCCTCTCTTTGCTGTTTTTTGGTTTCCTGTGATTTGTTCATTGAGTAATACAATTCCAAATAACGATAAGAGCTGACATAGAAGATAAATGTTTATTTTTTCATGTAAAATAGAATACCATTGGGAACTACAACTACTTATGTTAGTTATTTTACATAACTAATAAATTACTGATTTACAATGCAAAAAGAATAATGTTTTGATGGGTTAACGTGTACCGATAGAAATCCACGGATATGAACATCAATCTAAATTATGGTTGGGATTCTGATATACAGGTCATGTAGGAAAAGTGAGTCACAAAACAGTGTCATACTGATCTAAATTCTCTAAAGGAATCATGTATAAATGTTTATAAGCTTATACAGTGGGAAATATGACGATTTGTGTCAAGTGAATCTGAGTTAGTGTGACAGAGATTGGAACATTCATTGAAAGAGTCATGCAGCTGAAAATTGAATCTGAGGATAATTCACTGAAATAGTGATGCCAAACAATCAGCATCAATAAAATGGAATAGTTATTTAAAATACCTCTCTTGAACTATCTAATCACAATATTTATACTCATCTCGATGCTTCAGGTAACTTAACAATTATTATCCGTTTCACCCCAAGATTGTGTATCAATCACTATTTTAGCATTCACATATCGTGTGCTGACTTGATACTCATTATTTGTCTTTGTCCCTGTTCAACCTCAAATTTCAATGCTTCTCTTTGCAGTTGTTGAGATGCATCGATGATGATGTGTTGTTTTACGATGTGATTTTGTTTGAGTGAATCAAGGTGATTCTGACATTGAACTGTGTGTGGGAGGCGTTGATGTGTGAATCTTGTGCAGAGAGTGTTTGATCCCACCTTGTTGTGGATATTCTACCTGATTCTCAGGAACTTCTCACGTTGAATTTTGGTTGACTGATTTTGCCCCACAGTACTCGTTTTGTATCTAGAGAGTTTCCTTGTCTGTCTGGAAAGCTGCCTGACAGCACTGTTGAGGAAACTGTGAGATTTGATGCTAATCTTGTTGAATAGAACTACATACAGCTGTCGACGAATATCCATCATTTTGACATATTTGGAGTGTTTTATGCTAGGGAGTTTCCCAAGGAAGTTTTGGACAGTTATACAGCAGGACGCAGAGGTCGGTCTTTTGCATTCAGACTGCAACCAGTCAGTTTTGGTTGTTACAATCAATGCGAAATTCACTATAGTGAAATGTGCCTTAACGTGGTGATCAAAATGCAAATTGACTGATGCGATTTGTTTAACATAAAAGATAAGAGGACACGACGCCTGCTACTCCCTAGTGAATTGTAAGAAATGCGTCATTAGTGACTTCTACGAAGCATGAACATACTTTAATGATGATACATCTAACAAGTATTCATGGACAGCATTCACCATCTTATTAAAATTATTCCACTAGGAAATAAAATCTTCAAACTAACCTATTCTCAAACCAGATGGTCGATTAGTATTTTCGTCTGATGGCACACACACAGCACTAAGTGATATGCCTACCATATCAGCTATAATTTGTACCAGTGAAGCATCACCACGACCCAATCCACGTTGACTTGGTGATTTACTTAAATCCACAACGACAAAGTGAATATCTGTCCCCCCAGTGACCAAAGCAATGCCTTTAGATAGTAAACATTGTGCAAGTGTTTGTGAATTACTGAGAACTTGTTGAGCATAACGCTGAAAGTCAGCTGTAGCTGCCTAAAAGACAATGAGAGTGAAGAATGATGGTAAAGAATAAAGTTGACTATTTATGAGGTTATGTGATAAAGTTTAATCATCATATTGATGAAATCGAAATCATCAGATTTGACCAACAGATTTCTCTCAGCACATAGAACATCGAAGAAGTCTGTGAAAACATCTTTCTCCTTTTTTCCACCTCAAATGCATTACACAGTGAGAATGGAGTACACAAAGTAAAATCCTACTATAATAGGGAGGAGGAGGGCGTGTTTTCGATTTCTTCTCTGGTGGAAGATTCAGTATATTATTTATTGTCTCTAGCACCTAGTCCAGCCAAGGTTTCTGTTGTTCTAATCATGACTACTAGTCACACCGTCTGATAGCTGATGATTATCTTTATAAGAATGACTGTTTTTATCACAGACCTCCAATGATATGTTGGAGTACACGTTCTACACATCGCCCAGTGATTACTCTTCATTAGCTTGCTGGGTAGGATCATCGACTAGGTAGTTCTAGAACATAAGCCGGTGTCAGTGAACGGGTTAGCGATTACTCACTCATACCCGAACATTTCGCCAACAACCATAACTTGCCAAACATAATATTTTTTGACTAAAATAAAGTGCTTTGCTAGAAACAATTGCTAAGACAGATGACAAATCTGATGTAGATGACTACTGCTCATGTGTCGCATACTAGTACTAAACAGGTGCTGAGGCAGAATCGTTTCAACTACAAGTGGCCCACATAAAGATGTCAAAGGCAGGATCGGAAAATCAAGAAAGATAATTATTACACTGAGATCAGTGTTGAAATCTGGATTTGAACTCAAATGTCAAATCAGTGATTCTGTAAGGTGCAGAGACATGTGGCTTGCGTCACGAGAAGCATTTCCTTCAGGCTGCAGACCTCCATTAATAGCTTTCTTCACTCCATACTGAAGAGTAGATGGTCAGGAAAGATAATTGTTATGTCGCCTGGGAAAAAACCAACCAAGAACCTGTAGCCCAATAGAATATGCTTCAGTAAGTGGAGATAAGTTGGACATTCAAGAAAGCACTCAGGCTAATCTATAGATAGTAATATACTAGAAAATAAAACAGATCCACGTCATTTACTACAATGAGTTCACAATGTTTTCAGAAAATTATTTACCTCTATAGCCATTGAACCAACAGCTGCAATTGTATTTTCATGTGGACCACTCTGTAAACCTGGGAATACAGCTTCATTGATACGCTTTTCATATTCTTCAACTGGTATAGTTTGATATGCACATTGATGTTGTTCAGTTGAACGTGGTTTACGACGATAGAATATTACACCAGATCTCGGACCACGTAATGTCTTATGCGTCGTTGAAGTCACAACATCAGCATGCATGAATGGTGATGGAAGTGTTTCAGCGGCGACTAAACCTGAAATATGCGCCATATCCGCTAAGAGTATAGCTCCAACAGAATCACATATCTAATAAGTAATAGTCATTAATAAAAAATGTGAGCATTCTAATTAGTTCACTAAGAGAGATTCATCAGTGCAAAGGTAACAGGAAAAGTTTAATCACACACTTTTTGATTGATGCAAATGGAAACATGTTTTCAAGAGTTAGTTTGTAGGGATCTGATCTGTTTCAAGTGTGACCACGGAATGATTAGAGCTAGAGAACCTTTTCTCACTGAACAGCTGTTTGACCCTAGTCTAGGACTAATCGGCAGTTTGAAACCCGGCGGGTGAGTACTGCCGGACGAGACAGTTGTTCAGTTGCTACTCCCTGGTTTTTAAAGGGTTTGTAACCCATATCATTCCATGGTCAGACTTGAAAACACTCTTGTTAGTAGGTGTGTTAGATATCAATTGTCATCTGGGTGACTAAACTTCAGAATGTGGAGTAGATTTCACAATCCATAGATTACACTAGACTTTATTTCACCATAAAACACTTAATCTTATAAAATCGATGCTTTTATCATGAATATTAAGTGAAGAATAATCGCACACATTACGCTCAAATCACATTCAACTGACAAGTTTACACTGAAGATAAGTCGAGTATCACAAAGCTGCGTAGTTTCTGTGGTTTCTTTTTCAATTTTGCTTAATGATACTTTTTGAAGTTGTATATGATTGTGACTTATTAAGATAAGAAAGTAATTAGTGAATAACGTTTTATCCTGATTATAATAATAATAAACTTAAAAGTTTTTCATTTCTTCCCGTTTACATAGTATAAACGACGTAATTATACTGACCAAGATGTTTCTGATTCAATGGTGAGATGCTAGCTGACCGATGGATTCATGCATTCTTGTACTGTCTTCTAATAATCACAAATAGTTAATTTTAATGAGTTGAAACTATTTATTATCAATCGGTGCACATAAATGAAATATCATCAACTCTTCTTTATCACTAATATATTCATTAGTAATTAGTTAACTTTACTCTTAATATAGAAAAAATATGCCGACAACAGCACCCACCGATTTCGATTAAACACTTTGACTTCACACCTACACAGACAGACATATATTCTTCTGTAGATTTGAACTATTCTCGTATATTTTTTAGCCAAGTTTTATAACTTTGAATGACACCATTCACATATACAATTTACGTCATAATTATCAATGGTCGACCTTTTTAATTAATCTTGTTCAGACGTAAACTCTAGTGAGACCAATTAAGGAGTAATTTGGATGATGAAATTCGTCAAAAATCATGATCAGTTGTAAATTGTTTTCTTCAAAATGATCAACTTATTTGGTCTTGCCAAATCATGATTTCGAGAAGAGTAACACTGAGTATCATTGAATCATAGCCTTTTATTCTATGAGGATACACCACGGATTAAAAAGCATTATCACCTGGGGTATTGCTTGAGTGGTTCAGCCGTAGAACGCTGGCCAACTGTGCATGTGGTCTGGGGTTCGACTGCCACAGTGTATGATTGAAACACCATCTTGAGATGTGTATTTGCATAACTGATTGCTTGGAAAAATTAGAATGGCTTGAAATGTCATTCTCAAGGAAAAATCACATATTTTGTGCTCTGAAAACCCCTCCGCATTCAACCAACTTCAAACACTCAGTAAACTGTGTCAACAAGGGGAATATTTGAAAACCTTTCATTTAAAGCAATACTGCTCAATGGCTGGATGAAATATGGGGACCAGTTCTAAGGCCAGTATCTAATTTTTCCATTTGTGATACATTTCAATTTGCAGAGGGCATTGAGGTGTTTATGCCTCACGTGAAGTTACGTTTTCATCAGAAGTGACCACACTGTTTACTAAGGTACCTCTCACAGAAACCGTCTAGTACACATGAGACTATATTGATGCGCATAATATCAAAGTCGGGCTTCCAACATCCTGCCTTGAAGAACTCTTATCCAGATGTACATCTGACGTGAAGTTTAGTTTCAACAACTGAATATACAGAGAGATGTATGATATTGTGGAGGGATCATCACTAGCTCCACTGCTGACTGATTATTTTATGTCAGAGCTTGAAAATACTCAGCTCATTATCTGCTTTCATTTCTTCCATATTCGTTATTTGTGATAAGAATTTGCTACCTGATGATATTTTCCTATCGTCCAGTAAGTACCATTCGTCTCAGTAAAAGTTATCCCAAGAAAATGAATCCGAACTAGGCATTCCTTTTCTTGACGTGGTCACCACAACAGGTAATAGAGGATTTCTTAGAAGAAACATCCACCGAAAACGTAAATGGCATCGACAACCAACTACTTTTTGTAGTTATGTGCCTAGATCCAGGAAAATAAGTCTTGGTTATTCCCTCTCCTGTAGGGTTGGAAGTTCTCGCAGTTGTGACTGCATTGACACAGAAATGTCCTTCCTACGAACGACGCCTTTTGAAAAAAGTTTTCCAAAGTGGTTTATTGATATAAATGCGAGGGAAAGGCTTATTTCAAGCTGGTCAGCAGATCAGTTCTTCCACTAATCAATACTCAGAGAACATTGTCCCATGGGACTTTAATGTTTTGCTTGTTAACCACTTGACAGAAAATCGCATACCAGTGGTTCCTATGGTAGAATTCTCTACAGCCACAAGGAAGGTCTGAGTTCTATTCCTGGGCATCGTGCTCCTAAATAACTAGCCAGCAGTCAGCCCGGAAAACAGGGGAGGTGAAGCATCAGGCTAGTCGCCCTACTCCACAAAACCTATGCTGTCAATATTCAAAATTCAATACCTAGTAGTCCTATATTGCATTCGGAATTCAGGTGAAGCAAATATTGACAGCAAATTGATCACAAGGAGTTTTCATCACAAGGCAAATGTCCGTTAATGCCATCACTGAATAGTCTGTTTATTTCACCACCAACTAACCCTACTGAAGACAGGAATTCAAGTCGGCTGGTGAATATTGATAAACTCATCTGTGAAGCAACCATAGGTGCACAGAAATCGACTGACTGACAAATATTCAGACGAGTGGTTTTACTGACGAAGAAATGTAGATTGTATCACTAGCATATTACTTCGTCAGAATTCTAATTCGCAAATTGTTCACTTTTCATCTCTTTGACTTAAAAAGAAGCAACTGTATAATCTTGGACATGCCGAGTACATCAGTTTTCTTCGAATAATTAGCTCTTGCATGTGTGATTATTATTATTACCTCTAATCTTTTTAGCTAGGAGAAATTAAAAGACTGACAACAAATTAAATTTAATCTTATGACTTATTTCCAAGTGTTGGTTTGCAGAGATTTGGTTGATTTCCAGTGCGGTACCTGGCTGACATCAATTGGGGAATCATTGAAAATGAATGGAGTACTGGACAATTATTCCCCCCCCCATCTTTGGACTCTTCATCAGTTGGCATCCATGATCCAGCCTGAGATTGAGTCTGTGACCTTCAGGGAAAATAGGGCTAGGTCTCTGAAGTCTAAGTAGCAGTGGTGTTTATTACTAAGTGATGGGATTGCTAGGCCCATGCGCAACCTTCTGTCTTTGCCAGTCTTATTACTAGTTTGGTGAGGTAAACGAGTGCGTCGGGCGGTGATCTAACCACGAAACACCTGCATAGTTGGCAAGCGTATCCTAGCGATGGGCGACCGGCGCACTGTAATTTAATCGTTTAGCTAGATTTGAAAGATTATTAACAGCTTCAGATTAAATAATAAATCGGAAACACAAAAAATAGAATAAATTAGATTGAAGGAATAGTATACATTACCTTTCGGAACTTTTCATAATCCAATAACCTTGGATAAGTACATATTCCAGCAATCATTAATTTCGGATTAATTAATTTAGCATCACGCTCCAACATGTCATAATCAATGTACTCCGTCTCAGGCTATAAATAAATTCAATTGAGTAATAATAAAAATTCGAAAGAATAGCAAACACATGAATTAATTATCGAGATTGTTGCATGAAAGCAACTAATCAAATGCCATCGAATAAGGAGTAATTCTATTCAGTGGCTACAGATACTGACTGATTGGACACTGTCGAATAGAGCTGACTGATTCATTGATTAGTCAAAATTAATGAGATTTCTCTATACTCCTACTGAATTGAGATTTTCTGTGTCCAGTATCCGCTAGGAGAGTTCCGACAAAAACATAATACACAACTCTCTCATATTAGTTCATTCTAAATTCAGTGTGACAGTGATCTAAGTGAAATATCTAGTGAGAGTATCCACCAATAAATAAATTCAACTCATCTTGGTACGTGACTGTGTTCTCTTAGTTGGTTTGACTGTTAAGACTTCTTTGTCCTTCTAGACGACATATACAGCGGTTATCTCAATGTGATATGGAATTTTCGGAATTCTTGGTTGGTAAATTGAAACCTTCCAGCTCAGGGAACACAGTCAAACAGATCACAAATCTTCTCCATTATTTCAGGAGTTTAACTTATATGGAGAGTCGTTGGTTCAGGGCTAGAATACTCTCCAACCACGCAATTGGTTCCATTTCGATTCTCAGACAACACAGTCCTCAACATCTTCTTGTCAGTAGTATGATCGGTGATGAGGGAAGGCTGGTCTTGAGGACAGCAGTGAGACCTTGTCAAAGAAAATCATCCCTCCTGAAACTTCAAAGTTGACGTTTAAAGTCTTATGTTCCACTCGAAAGGCAGAGGAATGAACGCAATTCTGACAGTTGGTGACGATCGGCGTTAGAAGGACAACAGATGGTGATAAGTTGTAAAATCGGTGGTTATCAGACTTCCTTGTCTGAAAAAGAAATTTCTATTCAAACCTCCATAATATTTTCGGCCAAAACCAGTTGCAATGACAAGTTAACACCTACTTATCATCTGTCTCTGAAGTTTGTTCCTTTGAAGTACGGTCAGAACTAATAAACTCAATCAATTTTCGTAAAATATAGTGGTGACAATGAAATAGGATAATTCCTTCAGAAACCATATCTCGTACAGATTACGTGTACTGTAAGCAAGAAAATCCGCATTTATTCCTAGTTCACTGTTGATTATTGCATAAATGACAGCTCATTATATTGTTCTTATAAGGTAGCATGGAAGCATAGTATTGACGTTAACATGTTGATTTGTGTATATAATAATTCCGTAAAACCAAATATATTCACTGATCTGCAAGACTACAAAAGTATTTACTCACTGCGTAATAATATTCGTTGTCTATTCATATACATGAATTCGGCATAATTAACCGCTGGAATCGAGGAACTATGTGCTTGTCCCGTATTCTGACAGAATATAGATTCATTTCTTGTCAAACATAGGTGAAGGCATATTTCTAGCTCATTTTGATTTTCGAATTCTCTACAGCCACTGCTTATTCATGTCAAAATCACGAGGCATTATGAATTGTCTGGGGTTACAATTGTTTTCAGGTGTTGGATTGCAGGGATTTATTTGATTACAGGATTGACTACGAGGTGACATCAGTCAGAGAACCATTGGAAAACCAGAGAGTACTGGACAATTGTTTCGACCCAGTTTGAATCTCACCACAGTACACACCCGCAGGGGTTCAAGCCTAATGTCTTCCAGTTACAAGGGAAGCATGAAGACCGTCAAGCCATGAAGATTCGATCTGATGACCAATGAATTCCAACTTCTGACGATTCGCGATATTAAGTGCAACTGCCAGCCAATGCCGGTGTCGAGTAAGAGTCCTTTCGTCTAACTTGGTGGACATCATACGTTGAGACTTCTAACTAGAACTCCAAATAACTTGTCTTGAAATTTAAGAATCTGTGGAAGATCCTGGTTTCGAACCCCATCCAGTGTTTTATGCTGAAATGTCTCAGATTAGGAGGAGACAACTACCGAATACTCTCCGGTTTTCCTGTCGTTCTTTGAATGATTTCACCTCGTTATCAATCCTGTTATAACTATCACTTTGTTGTTTCAGAATTGATATATATATATATATATATATGTTTATTTCGCATAGCGACTACATACAAGAAATATAAGTATTGAACTGAATGTGGACATAATAATGCAGTCTTCCTGAGAAGAATTCAGTAACATTGGTGCACTACTCTAAAGGCCGATAGCAGATACATCGTATGTAAGAATGGATTCATTCAAAAGCGAATGAACTGAGTAGCAATAAAATCTCGAGAAGGAATTATTCAATACGCCGGCTACACCGACATTCAAAATGTTTAATCTTAAAGACAGCTAAATGTCTAGATGTGAATCAAATGATTAGGTAGACTAATTCATTTGGTGTGATTATAATTTGTATTGCATGTGATACAAATGAGACATGTATCTTCTTGAGGACAAAATGTTGCCAAGCTAGTGGTTTACTGAATAATTCAGATACCACAAATTTTGCGTATAGATCAACTAACAGACAGGGGAAAACAAATCTTTGTGCCAGAGTGGATCAGTTTAGTTTACATTATGTCTAAATAGTGCACAAAATAACCGCTTAGCCTTCAATCCCAATTCAGGTATCACCATATCAGGACGTATTAACTGTGTCATGTAGTTGGTTACTAATTAGATAAGTAAACTTGAAGATTTTAGATTATCTCAACTGTAGACATTATCTTTGTTTTAAGGAGTAGTAGCAGAGCTTGGACCTAGCTCTTATCAAGTGTTAGTTTGTGGTTATCTGATCGATTCTAAGTTAGATCGCAGAATGACATCACTGAACGACTGGAAAACCAGGGAATACTGGACAATGCTTTCGTCCCAGTTTGGGGCTCTCCATCAGTACCCACCCTTGGCCCCAGTGACAATCCAGCCAATTCACTGGCCTGGTAACCAAATTTACCGTATGTACGTTCCTCTGTGAGGTTGTATGTGCTTACTGCTGAACAGTCTCAAATTAGTGAAGGCTTCAGAAATGGTAAATTAGTCGTTCGGTGTATCTACGATACATACTCACTTAGTTGAGAAAATAAGTAGATTTGGCGAACGGATAGACATTTCTGTCAGTCTGAACTTTCCCAGTATTTTTTCTTTACTTTCATTTTTTCTGAAAATACTATGCCATTAAAGTACATATTCACGAGTAATTCATGAAAAAATAACACGGTAAAATACTACTGAACAACGTTCACATGGCTATCAGACAAGTCAGTTTACACAAAAAGAATATGAATGAATGGAGACTTAGTTCAAATGCACTGAACACCTTAAATGACTTATTTCCACTTACATTTAGTGAATACGGTATAGTATTAAAGAAAATTGATGCCGCACTTAGATTTTTATGTTTGTTAAAATATCCATGGGTTGGATGACCTCCATCTATGTATCGAAGTCCCATTATACGATCATTTGGTTTTAATAACGCTGTATATACTGCCATATTAGCAGGTGACCCACTGAATACTTGAACGTTCACACCCCAGTCAGCTTCATCAAGTGATTTATTAGTTGGTTTCAATTTGAATAACTCCAATAGTCTTTTCTGTGTCAATTGTTCAATTTTGTCGATTACAGAAACACCTCTTGGTAGACTAAAACGAAATAAATACAATGTTATGGATTAGTAGTAATTCGATTGATAATATTGTGCTGAGATGTTTGGTCTCTCTAGAAATGTCGGCTCCTAGTACGGACACCTCGAAGATATCTGGAAATCGACATGGTGTTCGTCGGTGGATGATGACTCTTAGTGGAATCTATAATGGGCACTTCATCCAATTTGGGACCCTTCAGTCTCTTCGAGTCTCGCTGGGAACACTACCACTCACTTGACATTGCAGGGACGTTCAGCTGACGAGTACACTGCCTGTAGATACTAAGAATTCCATACATACTACCACGTAGAGGATTTGTATTACATCCTTATAATTTCGTTTGTGTCATCACTTTATTTAAAAACGTCTGATAAATAACTTGTGGAGAATTCAATTCTTATAAATATTCAGACATTTCTCCAACTGAGAAATAACCTCTCTCTTAGAACTATATTTTGATTCTTCAGATCATTTTTTACAAACTGTGAAATCAACTAGTGTTTTCGGTAGCTCATAAGTCAGATAACGGAAGGATTTGTTGCTAACCCACATTACTCTAGTGCTGATAGACGGTCAATTTCGAATATTAGTAGTTTGCTGATCATCAAAGTGTTCGTATGCCATACCAGTTTAACTATTTTAGAATAAACTCAGTGTGTAATGTAAATGGGAGGAATGCTTCGTGGGAGATTTAGCCGAAAGCTACGAAGATTCATGGAGGTTGTAGGTATAAGTTATTGCTTCGCTGATCACTCACGATATTCATTTATTCATTCATTTAAATTCAGGCTTAATACTGCAAGTTAATCAGCATATATCTATCTATATCTGTATAATAACTTTTTCTTTAGAACTCAGTGTGCGGCGCAATACAGATTTAACTCGAACGTGTTTAGCCAATCACTAGCCGATCTCTCTTCAAGAATCATAAAATGATACAATGCTCTAATATGCCATTTATGAAGACATTTCAAATCACATGCAGGTACGTCCAGCTGACGAGTCTTAATTCGGACGCGAAATGTGCTACCTGGATTCCACTGCTAGTTATGTCTATGTCGAAATTAGTCAACTAGTCACTGTACTAAATGTTCAACCAGAATGTCATCCTTCTAAAGTTCAACTACTTAACAGTAATTGTAAGGCAATCGATGTTTCGAAGAAATATGTATTACTGACTGTGTCATTATAAACTGTTCAGTAACTCATTGTTTCATGATAAGTATACTGACCTGTAGAAATTAGGTCATAATTTGATTCGCATTTCCATTCTTTGCATTCCAAGTAAAATATAAGGCTTCAGGATTTAAGCTTTGAAGTTTCAGTGGTAGCAGTGGCTTTGTCAATGAGGTTAGATGAATACAATTGACAAAGACAATATAAAAATACAAATAAACAACCTACCGTTGATTGGGATAACCTTCAGCATATTTATTAGTCAAACAGCTTCCATTGCATTCCAATACAGCACGACTTGTGAAATTCTATTACATTATTGCAAGACAGGAAACAAAAAAGTGCGGTTATGTGTAGTTTTGATGAAGATTTGAAAGAAGAGGCAAAAGTTGAGGAAATATTGTATGAGAGAATTGAGTATTTACCTCAGAAGCAACCAATTCCAGATAAGACATTTGGCGTTGTTTCTCTGCATTGATAAGCTCCCACATTTCTGGATCTGTATCTTTCAGGGGTTGATTGCTTGCAGATGAGAAAGTTGAATATTCCTTCAAAAAATGATTGATAAGGATATTCAATAGAAACCTACTGCTTTGTCTGGCGCTGGACTTAAACTCACTTGAGTTCGATAACTGATGACATTTGAATTAGTTAATGTTTTGAAAACTCTGGTTCGGTACAATGATTCCATACATTTTCTGGAAGAGTTAGTCACAGTATTCAACATGGCTTGTTAATTTGACTTTTGTTATAATGGATTTTCAGATCAGCTCCCAAAATTGAATTTCGCCTTAGTCAATTAGTCTGAAGTTAAAGTTAATGCTCATTTCAGTTAATAAATGTTAGAACACGATCTTATGTCAATAAAACTGTGACTTTCACCTGAATAATAAATTCAAGATGTTGCTTATATGTCACTACTAAACACCTTTGCAAAATATAATGACAACCTTCAAATTTATCAACTTGGATTTAAATCTACATCAGAGAACACCTGTTTGAGGATGCCTAAGCTTCATTCACAATAGGATAATTGTATAAAAGTGAGAAGTTCATGATTTCCACCAAAACACAATACATTCATTGACATCAAGGAAGGTACTTCCACATCACATTCAAGTAAGTGAAAAACACTGATGACTGCGTGTTTAAAGTAAGTTGCAGTCATTCCAGGTTAGTAACATTCTGATGAAGAAGAAAGGATTGCATTCGTCCCATCATTTTAGGATTTCATGAAAGAAAAGTTGCATCACATGTCGTAAACTCTCATCCATGCCTTCACCAACAATGTCAGTCTAAGATTCTCAAGCTGAAATCAATTTGTCTAGATGCACTCCAACCACTATCAAGGGAATAAATTTGAAGGAGGTCATTTCCTTCACTTATCTAGAGAGCATCGTTTCAACTACAGCCAACTCCATGCTTGAGGATGTCAAAGTCAGTCGTAATCGGAAAGCTGAGACAGACATTCATCAATCCGAAATCAGTTTGGAAATCTCCTGCACTCGTTCGATAGGCCACAACTCTTGTTGAATCCAAGTGGAAAAAAATGAGTTGGGTGATGGGTGGTGACATGTAGAAGATCATGTGAGGAGGAGATGAGAGTCTACGACCGATCGTGAGACCAGTTGAAGAGGACCTCAGAGAACTGGGCAAAGTGGAGTTGTACTGTCGAAGCACTATGTTCCACTGGGAACCCAGAGGAATAATAATGATGAAATAAACAAGAGACGACACACCAAATGAGACATTCTATTGTTACCTACTTGCCAGACCTAAATAATTGGAAGTAAGAATAACAACGGCGAACAGAAAACCATTAAGAAGAGTTAATAGGCGGTAAATGAAGGAAATACTGTGTTAATAATGAATAAAACACTGTCGGAAACTTAATCCTCACAGATTTGACTAATACTACTCAAAAATAAGTGTTCGAGGCTAAAGTAATAAAAGAGAAGAGTAAGCATTAGTACGAAGGCTAAACTTAGGGAACGCTGACACTTGGAATGTTACACTTCCTGCGAAGCAGTGATTATAAATGGATAATTTGTGTGACACAAACGGAAACATGAGGTTATTTCGATGAAGTTATCAACACTAAATGACATTTGAACATATAACTCAATTGATAATACTGCATCAAGTCTCTTAGGGTGAATATAGTAGGAATTTTGCAATTGTCGACCGTATTTGTATCTCGAATCTTCTTTTTCTGCCAAGAAGCAGAACTTGGGTGTTGGCCATATTCACAAACGGCTACACATTAAGTCGTCGTTTCTGAATCCAATATAGAAAAAATGTTTTCTCTGAAGGTCTGAAGATGAAATAGATATTTCACCCATAAACACTCGATGTTGGGAAGTATTTTATTGGTTGAAGTATCATACACAATGTTATATTATCTGTAGCTTATGGTGAGGGTTAATCCACATACTCTATGAAATTTAACTGGTGCATCCAGAATCCAAAACAACAGCTAATTGTGTCTCAAAGTCACCGACAATTTGGTAAGTGACTAGAACTGAAATTCTAAATAATGCCGTCTCAAAACACTGCATTCATTTAATCCCTAATTTAGCATATGGTGACTACTGTTATTGGAATGCTGATCAGGTTTAGCATTTACACACCATATGGAACTGGAACTCTGCAGTAATATTTAATATAAAACTGGCTCTCGACTTAAAAATATGCTTGGAGTCAGTCATTCAATATAACTAAGTAAAATATAGTATAAAATAATACTTTTAGCTCAAGACTGACTTCCTGTCTGCTTTATTAATACTCAGTTCAAAACTGGTAGACACTACTTGAAATGTATACCTTGAATATTTCTCACTACATGAAAATAATTTAGAGCCCAACAGCGTGGGAATGCCTAAGCTTGCAAACTGTCTCATGAGAACCTTGTGGCAGCAACCTCAACGGGTGAGGCGATAAACTTTCTCGATTTAGAAAGTGATACTATTTATTCGAACAACGCTTATTATCCTTTCACTTAAAACAGTAACTTGAAAAACTAATGCCACTTTCGTTACTAAGCTTCGGGCTATCTGAAATTGTGTACAACTGTGATTAGAAGTGAATTCCTTATTGCATTTATGTGATATGTGACAGTACTTAAACGATCATATTCGACACTTATATAACAATTTTCTGCAGCCCAGTTAAAACTTAAAACTGAAGATCAACTGGCATTGAATTAATGGTCTGATTTAAAAGTCAACTAAGATGACAAACGCAGAGTGGCCTTTCAGTAAAGCCTCAGTGAAAGGTGGTTTTCACACCGCACCATTTTTATTGTGAATTAACAAAGATTCGAATGTCAGGTTCACCTCATAAATCATCAGAGTTCTTGGCTGACTGCTGTTCGACTCATATCAAGTAGACGGAGAACTGGAAAGTAATATATAAGCAACTTTGGACAACAATACGCAGTCTCAAACTGATAGAAAGAAAATTTACAATAACAGGTAAAATAAAGTATTCAAAGTAAGATTAAGATCACCCAGATTGATAAACTTTTACTGAAGTATTTTCAGTAATTTTATGGAAACTCAGCAATTAGATTTTATGATTCATGTATTCCACATTTAGTTCAGAGTATTGTTGAATAGCTGACGAGTCGACTCATCTAATTTCGGATAAAAGGATGAGCCACGAACTTTTATTCTTAGAATTTTCGCAGGAGTCATAAATTACTTTATGGATGGTATAATGAATGGACGATGAAATGGGTCTGGGTAGAGTCTATAAACTGGAATTTAGGCAGGGTATTTCAAGTGAACCTGTATACAATATCATAATTATGATATTGAGTAACTAACAGGCACTGCAAAATCTTGTGTGCTATGTCTCGTTAGAAGTATATTTAGAACTGTCGAAAATATATTTTTGCATAATAACTTACATTTTTGCTATAGTGCATCAACTTGTGAGTGTAGAGTGGTTAGCAATCGCGATAATTTATAGCCAACTTGAAAATCGGAGTAAGGTCGAACACAAAACTTTCTCAATGTCCAATAAAACTGTGACTAGGTTGCACAAGTCTGTGAATTCTCCATACTATTCTGTCATATTTCTGAAGCCTTTGTAAAACTATCAATACTGACCAGGAAGTTGGAAATCCACGCTTTAGTTGTTTAGATCTGTTGAGTTATTGATTGTCAGCCACCTTCATTTATCGTTCTATAATAAAACGTGATGAGGCCCCACAAATCCTTAAGGAAAAGGGTCATTTTATCCGCAAACAACAACTGTATAAGATAAGAACAGACAAGAAATTTTTGATAACCAAATCCCTTCTGATCCCATTTCTGTATACATCCGCAAAATTACAATTATCAGCATAGTAGAGAGGGATATTTGTAGTCATTTCCCTAGCAACTGGGTGTATAATAACTCAAAACAATAAAGTTGTACCACCTGAGTGGTAGATCTCAGGATGCTCTGTATCAATAGATGACCAGGATTCGCATGGTTAGTGGATATACAAACAGATCAATGTGTTTTATCTTGCCAATATCTCGATCACGGAATACATTAACAATAAAAAATGAAAAATATAATGAATTAGCGGACTGAGTCCCTAACCAGGCTGCATATCCTCTACTGCACTTAATGTCTACTGAAGCAGCCCACATCAAGTGTCTGATTACATTCGTGTCCAGTAAGTCATTCAACAAGCCGTCTACTTTCTGCATCACGACGTCTCAAAAGTGCCGGTGTAGTGACCCATTTTATTATCATCATCTACTATATTTTTTTTATTTTTCGTAAGTTTGAATTTGATTAGAATACACATTCCTACACCTTCTCAAGTGTCTTCTGATTTACGTTGTGTGTGTTGAGTAAGCACAACGTTAGGACACAATTAAAGGAAACAGTGTAGTCTGAAAAACTAACTAGTGGTCTGAGAAACTGTCCGGACACGCGATACTCTGTAGAGAGTTACACAGGGAACGCGAGGCTGCTCCGCGACACCAAGAAGCCCGGTCCAATATATCTATAGGACTATCCGAGCTCATTGTTGTTATGCTGTATATTGTATGGTGAATCTAAGCAAAACTAGAGTCGAAAAGCCAGAAAAATGACAAATATTTAGCCTACTCACATTCTTGCTGTCCTAGAAGCTTTCAAAGGCTGACGGTATTGACGTTCGCGAATTGTACGGAGTATACTGACGCAAGATCTTATACCAACAACTTCTATAGTATTCGTTTCCCGTGTACCGAAGATAAAGCAAAAGGCAAGATTGATCAACCAAAGTACGTGAAATATTTCGGGACCAAATAGTAAACCGTATCGAGTGCTTAACTAGCTAGTGATCGCGCACGCACGTGACACGTCGGAGTGACAAATGGCAAGGATGCTTGACCGGAAGCCTTCAGCTAGGCAAGTCGACTTAAACAGTGAGGGTCAGCATCCAGTGTTCAGTGATGATTGCTGTGGTCAATAATTTTCGGGAATTATTTACCGCTACAAGCTAATGACCTGTATTAATGTGATTCTGCGATCAAGGCTTTTCGAATATCTGTGGCGCTGAAATATCATTAACATTCACTTTTGTTGTGAGTGGAATATACGGCTTCGGTAGCTCATCGCTATTTTATTCTCTTTTTCTGCCCAGAAGTCGCTACTTTCTCTTCACACGATCTCCGTGTTACCCTACGACACCAAACTCATCTCTTCCCATTCAAGCCACATTCGAGGGTCTGTTTGGCGTGC